CATAATCTTTTGAACTTGATTCTCGAATGATCCAATGAGTGTTTGATGATCTTTCTTGGCTTCCCTCAATATGTCTTAGGTTTTGATTTTCATGATTAGAGGTCCATTGTATGCCCATTTTGTTTCATTTGCCTTACATGATCTCATACTTCTCACATGAATAATTTGAGCTTGTGTTTGCTTGACTTTGGTGCTTAATTTGTGTTTGCCTCTTCTTGACCTTGATTGTGGATTGCAATGTGAACATGATACATACCATTTGAATTTGTTTCTAATCATGATGGATTGGTGCTTGTTTATGTATGCTTTTGTTTGAGTTCCCCCTATCTTGGATTGACTTTGATGTATGTGTTTGTTCTTAAGGCATGTTTTAAGTTCAAGCTTTGAGATTTCCCTTGTGTGTTCATGGATGAATCTTTGACTTGATAACCATGTTGTTGTTTCTGACCACACTTAATCTCGTGCCCTAATCTCATGTCTTTTCCCTTAGGGTTATGTTGTGTATGCTTGTTTTGTGTAGCATATGCTTTGATTGTGAATGGAATGCATGATTTAGCTTTGTCTTTCTTCCTTGATTATTGATATGGTTTGATATGTTGTGATGTTGCTACTGTCTCATCTTGTTTCTCATCTCATTTGACCTCATTTTACTTTGCTTTGTGTTTAATATTGCTTTTTAAGGGATGCTTGAGTCATTTGATTGTGTTTGAGCACTTTGTTTTGACATTATATTTTGATCTTGTGACATGGTTTGACATGTGATTGCTCTTTGTTATTTTTAACATGACGTAAGTGTTCACCTTGTATAAGATTGAGATGTGTGTGTTTGATACTTCTATGTCATTGAACTTTCATGATTGTTCTTTTTTATTGTATCTTCGTCTTTCTTCAACTTTCTTATTCCTCTTCTCTCTCTATGAGACTTGTTTAAGTTTTATTTTTGTTTTCATTTGTGATTGAATTGGATAGTGTTCACTTGTGCTTGCTCACATGATCCCTTAGAATTCCTAGTCCCACTTAATTTATGATTAAGGTGGGAGTAGGAGAGACATTAGGCTTTCAATCTTTTGCATGATAACAATTAGGATAGTCTCTCTTTGACCTCAATTTTAGGTCCATCATTTGTATGATAAGATTAGGTAGACTTCCCTTTCATCTTAACCTTAGGATCCTTTTGTATGATAACATTAAGGTTTTCAATTCCCTTTAGTGTTTTTCTTTTGAGTCTTCTCTTCTCATCTCAAACAACTCCAAGACACTTAATAAAAATGATGAACGTTGTGCACCACGAACCTTAAGCATATGGGAAATGATCAGTAGGGGTTTCTCCTCACTTGTCCAGAGTGTTTAGTGTATACCCCTTGGGCGGTATGCGACGCATTCACTCCTATATCATAGTCTTTAGTGCAACGTGAATCTCAAACAAATTCAATTCACTTCCTTAAAACTCTTAACCAAATTCAAACATTTTTATCCTTCAGGATTTGTTTCAAAATCATTTTCAGAAAATAGTATGTTACTTTTTCGTTCTATCGCAAATAGGCATTGACCCTAACTGCTGGAATGGGAACTTAACGTCGCTCATAAAAAAACACTTAACCAACATGTGGTTTCGTAGTTACCTGAACTACGTTTGCTCTGATTTTTCATACCAGATGAGGATACGTAGGCACAAGACGACGATGTCTTGGCGAGCAACCTTTCCCCCATCTCCCGTAGTTTTCTGAACTACGTTGACTCTGACTTTCCCATTGTACGAGGGAATATGTAGGCATAGGGCGGTGATGTCCTATTGAGTCTCCTTTTTGTTTTCCCCGTTCCGTTTCCGTTGAGCAGTAACCTTTAGATAACACATTCTTTAATTAGACAACAAGCGTGGATCCTGTTGAGTACAACAGACGTGAGGGGGTGCTAGTACTTTCCCCTTGCGTAACCGACTCCCGAACCCAAGATTTGGTTGCGATGACCTTGTCTTATCCTTTCTCTTAAATTTTCTTCGATCATTTCCTTTCCCTCCTTTGAGATAAATAACGCTCAGTGGCGACTCTTTTGTTTGTTTCGTCGGTTTTTTCGCAGTTGCGACTATGAGCCTGCATAAATTGAGTTGAGGATTTCTTAATGCACCCTATATGTTGCTTACGCACCACACGAAAATACTAAAATGCCCCTCAAATTCAAGAGATGCATCTCTAGACGCACCAAATACACATACAACGTAGGTCATTCTGAGTGATGCCCTATTATTTAGTTTTTTAATACCGAAGATGCATCTCCAGTATATATCCGTAGATGCATTTCCGTAAAATATGCACACCAGTAACAGAGGCAGAAATAAAAAACTTGTAATTTGACAAAATAAAATTAACATTCATAACATAAAATAAGTATTACATTGATGATTTCAGCATAAAATGCAACATTACACTTCAATATCCAGGTGGACGCTTCAACATCTTCACAATATCTTCGATCGATCTTGAAATCGTTGCTTCCAACTCGAGCAAAACTTTTTTTTTCAAAACAGAAATATGTATTTCACAAAGCCCTTACATCTGCATCCATCTTGAGCTCAAAGTTGTTGAACTCAATCTTCCATTCGTTGTCAATCGATGATGAACGGTACCCGAACTTCACAATTTTTTCGGTTGTCTCCGTATGGTAGGATATTATGGATTTCGCATTTCAGACCTGCAAGAGAGGTGTACTCGGTGAGCTTAAACTTTTGTCTCAGTGTCGCGCTAGAGAATGAGACATTTGTAACATACCAGATGATGTTTATTTGTGATATTTGAGACATTTTCAGTTTGTGTGATATAAAAACAAAAGCCCCGAAATTTATAGAAATTCTAGACAAATGTGGACCCAAAAAATTCTATCAAGCATAAGTGGTGGTTTCAGAGATGCACTTCCGGAACCACCCAGAGATACATCTCCGAAATATCTCCTGAACCAGGCATAATGAAACATACAAAAAATAGAATCTAATATATGGCTTTGTTTGAAAAACGAGCAAATGTTATGGGAAAGATAAAAAAAGTGTATTAAATTATTAAGAAATTGAATATATTACACTTCATTAATATTTTGACACAATTACATACACTCATTTATCCGACTAAACATGAACGCATTCCTTCTCTTCCAGCAAGAGGCGACACGCAATTGGATGGTCGGCTAACTTTTCAAACAAGTCATGGTTATGCAAACCACACATGACATTAAATCTCTATTTATTATTTGCCAACATATAATCACACAACTTAAACAGACACTCACATTTTCTTGAACTGGTGTCGTCTCATTTAAAATTCCAGAGAAAAGGTCTATTTGACATGTAAAGGTGACATAAATTTTCAAAATCCAATCTCAAACTTCCGAATATCCATCTCCAAAATGTCGGCTGGGTTGATCAACTATCATAATATTTGTTGAAAATATCCGAATATGTATCTCCAAAAATTTAGTATTCATCTAAGGTGATACTCATTTAGAATACCATAGCGTTGATGCATGATCCGTTCGGAGATGCTTCTCCGCAACTCAAAAAGTATTTTAATATTTTTGTGTGGCGCATAAATAAAATATAGGGTCTATTAAGAATCTTCTTTTATTCACTTTAGTCTATGATGTTTTTGACAAAAAATAAATAAATAAACCTATGTTGTCAAAAATGGCGCAGGTTGCAATTTTTCATTCAACTTCAATTTATCATGGATCAATATGGTAACGGTTGCTGAGAAAAACAGATTAATTGTAGAAAACACATGAAGAGTAACATTGAAGAAACTGGAAAGTAAGAATTAGACCTTGCAACTAACTAATTTTAGGGCATAGTAAAACCAACAACAAGTCAATAAACCTTTCATTTCATAGAATTGAATAAATGCAACTGTTTATGTACTATTATTATTAATGAAACTGGTGATTATTATTTTAATGTCACTCCTCAATTCTCATGATAAGGGACAGAGTTATGTATCATATGAAACCAGGCATGCTAGCTTAATTAGAACTAATAATTGCATCAACCCAAACCCTCAATGCAAGGCAATGATACATACTTATCTTTGTGAACAAACTAATCCTTCACTTTCTTACTAACAATATTTACATCAAATAGCTAGCATGTTTTTCCAAAACATATAATTATGCTGCTAACTTGACAACACACTTATTCACCACAGTTAAAAAGAAAAGACAGGACAGTTTAGTTACCATCATTATTGAGCCCCTTGTCTGCTATGTGTTGGTGAAATGGATCGGGTGGCGAACACGGTTCTGGATCGGACGACCCAGGTCACAACCAGGCGACTCAGGGTAACGCCCGCCCGATTCCTTCCAAGCCCTTTAGGATGCTTTTTTCCAGGTCCAATAAACTTCTCCCAATCCAATAATAGTACTACTTAAACACAAAGCATATTACTACTCATGCAACCATCTCAATTCATACCATAAGAGTCCTCAAAATTATATAATCTCTATGAGTGACTATCAGAGGGAAATCCTCATTCATCTAGACATGATTTATGAAACTACTATCTCATTTATCCATAACAGAAACTAAATCAAAAAACAAATCAGAGAAAAACACATAACTCAAGCAGTTAATCAACCAAATTTCCACCACCAATTCAATCAATCCCATAACAGAATAGCCTTTACTGTATATTTTCATTTCAAGTTTAAAAACCTCAAAACATCAACTCTTACCTTATAAAAGTGATAATCAGGAAGCAAAATAATTGAATCCTACTTCCTCAGTTCTTTCTCCAAAATCACTTTTTTTCAAAGCACTATCTCAAAATCACTTATTCAACTAGATCAAACCAAAATCCTACATACCCAACTAACAAAAACCGAAAAAGCTAAAAAATTTATTAAAAAAAACGAAAATGAAAATTCAGATAAATACTTTTACAACTGGGTTCATCATAATTAACACAAAGAAAGAACTATAGTATACAAAGAGATGAAAAAGAACAACAAAAAAACCCTAAAGATCAAGTATCAGTAGATTGACGATAATCAATAACCTCAGAAGCAGCATGAGATCTAGACCCAAGAACAATCGCACGCCCGATTGAATTGATCCAATCTTCTTTATCTTTATCATTATCAGCGATGAAGAACATAGTGGACTGCGGCGTTGAGAGTTCAAAGGCGGAGGCTTTGTGAAGAACATCTTCAGCGCCTTTGACAGTGAGGCAGGTGGATACGGAGATGACGCCGCGGGGGACGGAGGAGTGTGAGGCGGCCGAGGATTGATCTTTGAACCAAAAGAGTTTGCCTTGTTTGAGAACGAACCAACGGCGGCGCCAGGTTTTGATGTAGTCGCCTTGTTTTGTTAACCAGCCGGAGCGTTCTGGGTTTGACCAGAATTCGATTCCGGCGTAGTCTTCTAGGTTGGGTTCTTGACCTGTCGCTGCTCGCCATAGATTCTCCATTTCGTCTCTCTCTAAAAGGGAAAAATGTAATCACCGTCTAAAATTTGGACAGAAAAGTTGTGAGAAGTTAAGAACTTAAAAGTGTGGTTTTATTAATAGCTTTTATTCGGAGGATTTCTGGAAATTATTTAAAAAAATTTAATTTTATATATTTTGGACGCATTAAATTTTGAATAAATATTAAAATATTTTGGAAATTTATTTTTTTAATAATTTAACCATTTAATATGTTTCACTCAAAAGTTATTATATATTTGAATTTGAGACGTAAATATTTTGATGATACATCTTTGAAACGTATAAAAATTTGTTCTTTTATGTTATATTTTGTTTATCTATATGCAGGCGAAGATTTAAACTATGTCATACAATCAAAAATAAAAAATATATGTACATAATTTCAAATAGTCCAAAAATGTCATACATAAATAAAATATCAATAAATATAAAAAAAATGTCATACAATTGAGATCAATACAGTAGCAAGACCGTCAAAATAAAATGCAGATCATGGTACTACTATTATATACTAAGACACTACTGTGTATGTTTGACTACCTCTCCTCTACATCATCTGCCTCTTTTGCCACTTCTACCTCATCGACCATCAATCCACATATCCTCTAGCGATGTCTTCGGTACAACAATGCTCCATGTGCCTCCGTCATGATGAAATCTAGGACTTGCCTCACATTAGACCTACTAGGGAAGATACATGTGTCAATGCCTGTCTGCGCAATCTTCATTATGCGACGACACGTAGGCAAGACATCCTTAGCATGATCTAGTTGTATATGTCCATCCTCTAGTATCTATTGATGAGCTAGTCTCGGTGGATCTCCTAGAGCAGCATGCACCATGTACGTATGTGAGACTCCGAAGAACAATCGGATGTACCATTCGATGTAGCTTCAATCGCTCTCAGTTATGGTAGCTCGTACCTACTCTGGTACCAGATGACTCTCATAATCATCAAACATGTCATTTATATATCTACGTGTCAAGGCAGGAGGAGCAAAGATAACAGGGTGTCTAGGAATTTTTTGAGTGTAACCAAACTGCCGCATGACGCTCCCGGGAAGATGAGGAGCAGTGAGACGAGATCCGCAGACCAGCCATCCAGAGTATAACATTATCTTATTAAATGGCCGCATCTCACAATGATCAACATAGTTGTTGAAGTGCATGTCCTCAATGTAAGACGGTAAACTCACCCAGTCAGAGATGCGCAAGAAGTGCTGGAGGATCCAAGCTTGAAATGAAAAGTTTGGAACACACCAATCATCAACAATGGATTTGCAAATATGAAATGAGAATGACAAAAAAAACATTCAAAAACCAATAATTATTATTGTCAGTAGTGTGACGCTTCCTGTGACCTGCTTCGTCTTCCACATATACCTCTCTCAACTTTGAATACAGATAGATCAAACAAGCTGCCATCCAGTTGTACTCATGGATCTACTCGAAATCTATGAAGTATCGTAGGTAGACGACGTTTGTATAAGTGACATTCTTGTCCATAAAAATCGTAAAGCATGTACGCTCTCAATGCATGTGATATGTGGAGTGCCACCTGCTCATCATCACCATCAACCTGTTGTGCACTCAGGATCCCAGCCTCATATATCTTATTTAGATATTCAAATCTAGTATGAGCACCCCTAGTCTTGTCCAACTCCTCATTTGCATCCCTTGGATCAGCCCTCGGATACTCTACCATCATCTCGAGTGCTTCATCTTTGGTCATCCTCCCATGATCTAGGAATCTCCCCCTGATCGGAAGATGTAGCAAACACGAGACATCTTCGAGTGTGGTAGACATCTCACCATGAGGGAGATGAAACAACAAGGTCTTCGAGTGTCATCTCTCCACGAATGCATTAAGCATCTCGTGGCTGACTGTAGTATAATCGGTCATGCACAAGTCCTTCAAACCAGATAAGGACAAAACTGACTGAAACCAATCCTCATTCAGTTGAGACAAGGCAACAATCTTCCTCTCGTGGTTAAGAAACTTGTGCGGATCACGCTCCTTAAAAAAATAATCAATGTCAGAAATTTGTCAATTAAAATTATTATGAAAAAAAAATAATGTATCCAACTAATGCTACCTCTCTGTCCCGTATATGTCTAGTGTAACACCCCACTTCCCAAATTAAATAAAATATAAACATTATAAATAAACATCAGAGTTTTCACCAAAATAGTGGGATATCACATCACCAAATTTTTATAAAAATACTTTATTAATTATTCTCAAAAATAATACAGCGGAAAACATTATTCCAACATTCTCGGCCATCCGCCAAATTTCGTAAAATCTTTATTATTATAACTCACAAAAAAAAAGTGATACGTCACAGGATTACAACAAGTTTGACATAAAACAATTAAAACACCCATATCCCATGTTACGTATCAGAGCATCCTAGACTCGACTGGCACACCACCATCCAAGCTATCTAAGTACCTGGATTATTTGTACTTCCGGAGAAGCACAGACACAACAACAACTAAGGGGTGAGAAAACATGATCAAAAATATATTGGTAATGTAATACATGTAAACAAGGTAGTAAAACACACCAACACACCAATATTCACCCCAACAACTCCATATAACGAACCTACTGTTCAAATTACAATATAACATATTATAATGCAAATATGCAACTCAACACCATGCATGCGGTACCGACTCATTGGTTCATTCAATCGAACCTGGATAGATCACTTACGCTCCTCCTGAGACATGATCTATCCCCCACCATTCTCCACCAAGGAGTACGGATGAATCACTTACGCTCCTCCTGAGACATGATTCATCCCACCAAAACACCATGATATGCACACACCAATGCATAACTATCATATTTAGGCACACTAAGTGCACACAATCCTCCTGATCATATCATCATACATCAATGCATATATGTTTAGATATATTACACCAACACCATATAAATCAATCAAATAGTAAATAAATTCATACTATAACACCATATATAACCACATCCCAACATCCGGGAACACACGATCCTACTGATCACTACATACATATACGTTAACCAATTGTTCACCAACAATATCAAGGAAAACGAGTACCATCACCAAGTAAACAAGTTCATACTTTACCACCAAGATATAAACACGTCCCACCACTCAGGAATACACGATCCTACTGATCACTACACCATGCTCCGCATGATTCATACACCAACTAATTATCCATTTAAATAATTAGTAACGGAAATCACATACTATCACCGAGTACTCACTCTATAACACTCAATCATCTCCCCTATAATCAACAAAGTCCAAGGGCACTACACTCTTAGCGCACACAACATTACAGCATAGAAAAACCACATTCTGCCACGCTCGCTACACCCTCGCTAGGCGAGCTCCCAGCGAATGCTCGCTACCTGTTCGCTTAGCGAACCTCCTCGCGAATGACAGCAGAACCTACTGGACTCACTCTCTACCTCACTCGCTAGGCGAGCACCTAGCGAACGCTCGTTGCCTTCTCGCTAAGCGAAGTGCTAGCGAGTTGCCTGCGACTTCTCAAGTTCTCACAGTTCAGAATTCTCACTCTTCTCCGATTCAAGCCTATTCTATAACATCCACTTCCTATACTATCCGTATTACGACCAATGCATATTAGGCTTATCAATCTTCCTATAATTCTACTCCAGATCAACATTACGGCACACTACCGGCACTTTAGAGTTACTCTGAACCTTACTCAAACCAAACCAACACCAACAGTCAATCAACAATGGCAACATCAAACATCCGTACATCATCATATACATATTATTCCAAAGTCATCACTTAAACAATCTATCGACACATCAAAAAGGTCACACAGAACTTCCCTAAAACCGTAAACCCAACCTATACGCCAAATTAACCAAAAACAACAATTCACCAACAATCAACATATTTCAATCCATCAACATCAACATAACTCAACAATCAATAGCATGTCAATATAAAACTTCATCAACGATACATTCCTACGGGGTTAAGGAATCCCCACTACCCTATACATGTATATACCATTCCCAATCAAGTTTCTCCCCCCTTACCTTGTTAATCGGTTGATCGATGAAATTCTTCCTGGATTTGGTCTCTTGGCCTCCTCTTTTCTTTCCGTTCTTCGTTCCCTTTTTCCTTCGTTCTTCTCACTTCTCTCGTTCTTTCCTCTTCTCTCTTTCTATCGCTCTTTCTCTCTTCCCTCTTTCTATCGTGTTATTTTCTCTAATACTTCCCCCACCCCTTCATATTCTATTTTCCTTTTTATTTCCTATCCCAATAATAATAATAACTAATAAAAATAACATAATAATAATAATAATAATAATAATAATAATAATAATAATAATAATAATAATAATAATAATAATAATATTATTATTATTATTATTATCACACCAATTTCCCACAATCTATGGTAATCCCTTTTCTCTCTATTCCAACTTTTCTAATATCTCCTTGCTACCCCTTCATATTTTCTTCCTCACGGTTTCTATCATGACTTTTCATATTTCCATTCTAACTTCCCAATAATCCTTCCACCTCTTATTTTACTTATTTCAACCACTAATATTCCCAATAATAATTCTAATATAATAATTATAATAATAATAATAATAATATAATATAATACTATTATAATATTATAGTAATATTCAACATAATAATAATAATAGTAATACACCCAACAATAATTATAATAATAATAATAATAATACTAATGATAATAATAACAATTATATTAATACTAATAATAAAATAATATTAATAATAATAATCTTAATATTAATAATACTAATATAATATTACTAATATTAATAATACTAATCATAATAATACTATTAATAATAATAATAATAATAATAATAATATTATTATTATTATCTCACCAAAATAATAATAATAATAGTAACAATATTATTATCTCACCAAAATAATAATAATATTAATAATACTAAT